GACATGAGGAGGAGTCTCGAAATGGTCGAGACATAAAGATTGATATATTGGACGGCTATATTCGGACACCGGAAGTGTTTCGGGTGATTTCGGAGAAAACCGGAGTGCCGGAGGGTTACCGGAACCCCCCCGGGAGAAGTAATGGGCTTTATGGGCCCTAGTGGAGAGAGAGGGGCGGCCAGGGTGGGTCGCGCGCCCCCTCCCCCTCTGGTCCGAATTGGACTAGGAGAAGGGGGGCGGCGCCCCCCTTTCCTTCTCCCTCTCCCCCTTCCTTTCCCCCTCCTAGTAGGAGTAGGAAAGAGGGGAGTCCTGCTCCTACTAGGAGGAGGACTCCTCCTTGGCGCGCCCCAAGGGCCAGCCGGCCTCCCCCCTTGCTCCTTTATATACGGGGGCAGGGGGGCACCTCTAGACACACAAGTTGATCTTCAAGATCGTTCTCTTAGCTGTGTGCGGTGCCCCCCTCCACCATAGTCCTTGATTATATTGTAGTGGTGCTTAGGCGAAGCCCTGCGACAATAGAACATCAAGATCGTCACCACTCCGTTGTGCTGACGGAACTCTTCCCCGACACTTTGCTGGATCGGAGTCCGGGGATCGTCATCGAGCTGAACGTGTGCTAGAACTCGGAGGTGCCATAGTTTCGGTGCTTGATCGGTCAGGCCATGAAGACGTACGATTACATCAACCGCGTTGTCATAATGCTTCCGCTGTCGGTCTACAAGGGTACGTAGATTACACTCTCCCCTCTCGTTGCTATGCATCATCATGATCTTGTGTGTGCGTAGGAAAATACTGAAATTACTACGTTACCCAACACCTACGCACGCCAATACAGAAAATTCTCTGTTGATAACTTGATGGTGAGGAGATGGGCGAAGTGGAATGACGCATGTGCCGGCATGTCGGCCACCGCGGGCAGACGGACGGGAGCCGGACGGACAGCGGCGGCCGCGGGAGTAATCGGAGAAGCCGAGGGCATCACCCCGGCCATGGAGGAGCCGAGGTTTGTGCCGAAGCTGGATGGGCCAGCCATGGTGCTGACGGCGAGGGAGTTGTGCAGGTCGTTGGTGCCGGTGAGGAGAGCGGCGAGGGTGGATGGGATCCCTCTTGCGGTGGTAGCGGCCGAAGGAGCGACGACGGCGGTCGAAGAAGCAGCGGAGGCCATCGCGACCTAGTCTAATACCATGTACGATTTAGAGACAGGAGGGTTTGAGGGATCGCACGCCTCAATGGGCTGTAGGCTTCCCTTTATATGTAACAAAGAATCAATACAAATACAGGGTATATATGGTATGTTAAAATCCTAAGACGTATACAACACGGATTCTAACAACATGTATCGATGACGGACATGATGTAGTACGAGGGGAGAAATGTCTGTAGAGGTTTCCTTCCTCCCCAACTAAAGACCCAATCTGAAGCTTAGGCGGCGAAGACACAACCTCTAGTTTGGCGAGAGCAGCCTCCGCCCTCCCCGGAACACTCCCAACTTGCGCAAGGTAATCGCGCAGCTCAGTGCGAAGCAAGTCGGTCTCGTCCGCTAGGACGGGCTGCAATTGCAGATCAGCCGGTGTTGCATCAACCTCTAGTGCAGGCAGTGGGGTAGGCATTGGAGCATCATGATGCGGCTTCGTAGTCAGATCGAAGCGGTGCTTAGCATGACAAAAGCGCACTTTGTGGCTGAAATGAAGGCATTCCGTGCACCAGGTTGGGTCCCTGCAAGAGGCCCACTGCTTTCTTTCGTTCCTTACTTTTTATCCAAAATTTGCAAAATGGAGTACAAAAGAGCTAAGGACATCACAAGGCTGAGACAACCAAAATTACTTAGCAATATCATGATTATATTTAGAAAAACTATGGGTGTAAATTACACTCATCAGGCGCTACGGCCAACTCCACTTCTGGTGGGCTACGTAGCTTGTCCCAGAAGGGTATGGTATGCGGGGTCCCTAGGTTCCACTACAAGGATGAACAATAGTGCAAGCTCCCCGCGTTCCAATCCGGATCGCGGTGGCGAGTCGAACTCCAATGACTTCGTCAACTTCTACGAGGCCAGCGGTATCAAGCATTACACCACCGCACCATACTCGCCTCAAAAAAGCTACTTCTTCAAGTGGAAGTGAGATGGTGCTCTACCACTTGAAGTCCATGGTTGTGATGGGGCCTTTGGTAGAAGCGATGAAGACGGCGGTGTACCTGCTCAACAAAGCTCCATCGTGGAGTCTCAATGGCGTCATGCCGTACGAGGCTCAGCACAGGAAGCAACCGAATGTCCATGTCCATTGTCTCAGGGCATTTGGATCATTGGATGTGTCACCTATTGTTAGGGACCGACTCTTGCTTCTCCTTAATAAATCACAAGTATGGTTAATTTGAGCTCAGTGTAGCGGCTACAAGGGAACTACTAGCCATTATAGGAGGAACTAGGAAGGAAATAGTAAGCTGCCACCATTTGTCGTGTTTGATGATCCACTAGATGCCTTCCTTCGAGAGGGACAAGTAGGTGGCAAGGGAAGGAAGTAACTCAAATCCGCTCTAGGCACTGGACTCTTAGGTTGGGCTAGTGCCTTACTACCTTCTGATGGGTCAAGCGTCCAGCGAGGCAAACGTGGTACTTCCAGGTGGGGGTATGTATGTCAGGAGTGATGACATCCCACCTTCTTGCGAAGAGGCTTGCTCCCAAGCCTATGCACCTAGGAAACAAGCCTAGAGCATGACCTTGTCTACCAGTGTCAGTGACCACAGCGTGATCCAACCATCATGCTTCAATGTCTCTTGTTCTAACATTATTGAAGCATGGCAGCTAGAACCATTAGCACGCCCATTGAAGTCGGCAGCTCAGGTTCAGTCATGGTACCTGGGAGCAGTGCACGCCGGAGTTGCGAAACGTGAAATACAAATGCACAAATGCCTATGGGGTGGCTGCGGACAATACTCCACATCTTTGATCTTGACTATGACTTGATAAGGGCCATAGTAGCGGCAAGAGAGCTTATGGTTGGCGTGCTTCACGATGGATTTATGAATGTATGGTTGAAGCTTCAAAATGCTACATCTCACATGATGAAGGTGCGGTGCAATATCTTTTTGTCCATATGATGCTTCATGTGCATGCACTTTCTCTGCAAGTGTTGCTGTAGTAGGTCCTGGATAATTGCATGATCATCGAACCATGATTGCAGAGTTGGGACGTGTTAGAGTTGTGTCGAATATTGTGTACAAGGTAGGTTACATGTGGACTCTGAGTAGTATTGTGTTTAGATATGATATGGAGTCGTGTCCTAGTAGGACACTTGTATCATAGGCCTCTCATATATAGCGAGGGTAGACATACGATGTAACCTATGTCAACATAATAGCACAGGAATGCAGGGGAAGTCGGCGGCACGTGTCGGCGTCCAGGGCGACCGAGTGCGGTATTGTAGCGGTGTCATGGGGAGAAGCACCCATAGTCAGGCCCCGAGGATGTAGCCATATCGGTGAACCTCATTAACAAATTTCGGTGTCGTGCTCGTGTGATTGATTGGTCCTTGGATGATCGACGGTGGCCTTGAATTTATTATAACATGACGTACAAGAACTTGTCGTTGTGATCCCCCCGTGCCATGGCTCGTGCCCGTATATGGTCTTAAAAGGACACATTCCAATCGTTGAGTGACAGAAGAGTTATACCAAAACTGAGCATGGGGATGTATGCGTGAAGCAACGTAGGAACATCTTGAGGCAATGGTTAACACCCTTAGACTACCCGTCGGTTTGAAGACAACGTCGATGCCGAAAAGCTCCGATCCAGGAGCTCCTCCACGGCATGAAGTTGCATGGTGATGGCGTGCGGTCACTTCCCCAATGCTTTCCGCACTTGAAGCAGAGGTTGCATGCATGCTTGTACTCCCACGGGGCCTTGAGTTTGGAGGCATCAGCATGAGCTGCGTCAATGCCGCGACGATCCATGACTACTATCAGAGTTGGTGGCTATCCTTGTGTCGATGGAGCGGGCAAAGGCATGGTCACCCTTGCATGGTGCACCATTTCCACCAGCCGAGAGGCAGACGACCATGACTGCTCGATGCATGGTGATGCCTTACACCACCTCCTCCTGGAGCGGCGCTAAGGCGCACGCCATGTCGATGTATGGTGGGCCCTACACCAACAGCAGTGTGAAGTCCCTCCACACAATGAGTAGGATAGTAATAAGGATGGATGGAGTCGGAGCAAGCAGATAAATGGTTGATGACTAATTCAAATCTCCCGATGTAATCTGCAACTGAAGAAGTTTGGGAAATGGTGTCAAACCAACTTATCAACAACTGGTGTCGAGCGTGTTTGAATCTTGTGCAGAGCAATGTTGGAAAAGACTCAAAGAAGCCCTGAAAGCCTTTTCCGAATCGACTGCAGCCAAACTTAAGCCGACCCCCGAGAAATTCATACAGGCCCTAGGTACCCAGAAATTCTCACAAATGCCAAATATTTGAAAATACTGCTCGCTCCAGAACTCCATTTTGGTCCATTAATCCCGTATGCTGTGCCTACTTTCCGTGGAAAAGAAAATGCTACGCCTGAGCACCCACGTTTTTTCACCTTTGTTTGTGATGAGATGCGCTTGATTAACTCTTCGATACCACGGACAACGTGAAGGGCGCTTTTGCTTCCTCTTGGCATCATGGACGTACCAGAGGTCGAAGGGCCACGATGGCGATCGCAGCCATCCGGTCCAGAAATCCGCATCCGGCCTCCATCCAGGTCCTCCCATTTGTTATCCACCGTACCCCAGCGTTATCCAACCAGAATTCTCCTCACCTCAGCCATGTCACGCGCCGCCGCCACATGGCTGCTCGCCAGTGGGCACGCCATCCCCGCGACAGATAAGGCGCGCCTTGCCTTGCAGCCCAGCCGGCCGTATCTTCATAACCAAATAGCCCCGCACCAAAACGCACCCCACTAGCATCATCATCACACATTCCCAGCGCAGATCGTCTCAACAACTCAGCAGCTCCGTCCCGATGGCGTCGCTCACCATGATGGCGTCCCTCTCCGCGGCCGTGGCGGTCGACCGGCGCGCGGCAGCCCCGCGCCGCGGCCTCGTGGTGGCCCGGGCCGCCAAGGTCGAGGGCCAGCAGGAGCCGGCGGCCAAGATGGCAGCCGTGGAGCCCGCCACCGACGGCCGCCGTGCCGTGGTGTTTGCTGCCGCCGCTGCGGCCTTGTCGGCCATTGGCGGGGTGGCGTTCGCCGAGTCGGACGTCAAGAAGGGGAGTCCCGAGGCCAAGAAGAAGTACGCCCCCGTCTGCATCACCATGCCCACCGCCAAGATCTGCCACAACTGATCGTGGGGAGGGGGCGATGATGATGCGGGTGGGCGGTAAATATTGTACTACGTACGGTTTTATCTCTTGTTGAAGTTCGAGCTTAGATGCATAAGGCCGCGTTGCGCGCGCTTGGACGCCGCCATGGACGGTCTCTAATGTTGTTGTATTATCCATTGCAAATTCGAGGTGAAACCGCACTTGTTTGATTACTTTCATGCATGCGCCCTTTCGTCTGTCGAGTGATCTTCTCTAATTAAAAATGAACCGAGCACAACGCTGACCTCAGGGGACTGTTGTCTGTCACGCCGTACTGGGTAAGGATAGGTTATATGACTATGTAAGGAGTGTACGAACGAACAAAATCGCCCGATCTTTGTTCTTCTATAAGAGCATCTACATACAACCGGACCCCATCCCACCCCAAAAGTCTGGACAAGCTGCCCAATCAGTGTCCGGATGCAAAAACGGCATCCAATCGGCCTCTTCACATTCGGTCCAAATCTGAGGCGAATATGAGAGGCCCGAACACGCCCGGACACGCCCGCCATGTTGGACTGGTGGATAGGCTCCACGCAGGAACGCGGAGAAACTGCTGATCCAATGGGCGCCTTCTCCCACGTGGCGCCGCTTCGGCATGCCGCACGAGGGAGGAAGCCGGCTATTTAAGACGGACGGCGGCAGCAGAACCCTAGCCCACCACATTTCTTCCCCTTTCTCCACTCCGCCCCAGCACTTCCACTTACATCTGATATATTGCTGCCTCGCAACACATGCAACACCTCATGCACCACATCATCAACAACGAGATGCCAATAGTGTTTATAGAAGACCATTGAGAAACCATCCATCCCAGTAGCTTTTCGATCCCCTATATCGTCATGGGCTCTCTTAACCTCCTTCGGGGTGAATTCGGCCGATAGAAACTCGTTCATTTGCATGGTCACCTTTGGGGATATATAGCACCTACCACAGGGGTAAACAAGGAAGAAAAGTAGTTAGTAATAAGTGTCTTTATGCCTTCTCCTCCTCTACCAGAACTCCATACTCCCTCCTCAACTAATTGTATTCTTTTTCTTCCATTCTGATGCAAAGGCCTAGAAATAGTGTGTGTTACGGTCTCCATTAACCAGCCAATTTGCATGATCTATCTGCTGCCACATAAGGTCCTCCCGTTCTTCAAGCTTTTCTAGCTTAAAGCATAGAGTTTGTTCCCTGCTAACTTGGTTGTCCCACAAAGGCAGACTCCTGACCACCTCTAGTTAAAATTTTATTTTATTTTCTCATCGCCTACCCCCCTGGCTCCAAGTACCAAGAGCCTTTACCACCATCTCCAGAACATCTGGTCCGGCCACACCTTCCCAGGTTCTTCGCCAACCATTGGCCTCAAACCGCAGGAGGCGCCTCCCAACAGTAGACCGCTGCACCCTCAGCCTACCATCTCGCAACAGACCACAGTCGATGATTAGAGTGATGGGGATCCCCATTATTGATCTTATACGCTGGGAAATAGTCACGCCACTCTGGTGTTGCAACAACATGGTCTAGACGTTCACGGATATACCCATCATAATAGTACTTTTTTACTCCTCCAAGTGAAAACATCTCCCTCGGAACCGAGGTCATAACAGAACACAATAGTCTATGGCATCATGAAAATTTTGCATATATCTATGATCACGAGGTGCACCCCCTTGCTTTTCATGACTAAACAATACTCCATTAAAGTTACCAAGGCAAAACCACGGGAGCTGAATCCGGTTCTGTAGTCTGTGAAGGAGCCTCCAAGTCTCAACCTTTCTATCCATGTGTGACTCCCAATATATGCCAGTTAAGCGCCATTTGAAACCATCCTCCTCCTTCACAACTGCATCAATGTGCATATGCCCCATCCATCTTACCATAACATTTATGCCCCGTCTCCAGACCAATGTCAAACCATCGCTCTTCCCATCTTTGATTTTCTACTCTCATCTATACGAAGTTGTGGAAGGACAACAGCAGTTGGTGGGCAAATTTCAAGCAAAAGCATTTGATGCAAAAGGGTTGATATTTTCTTCTTCCTCTTCTGTTTTTGCCAGCGGTTTTGAATTTGGTTTTGTGTGTTTTCTTGTTATAGCCCAAACCCGTATATGGCAATTGTATGAGTGAACTTTTAGCAAGGATATCCATTCGGCAAGGGGAAGACGGAGTTTTTTTGCCATTTCCGCTAATCATATATTGAGTGCTTCTTGTCACGACGAATCTCCCTTTTTTTCTATGGCAACTGATCTTTTTTAACGTAGGACAGACACATACGCACATATACTCATCCCTATGAGCATACGCACGCACACCCTACCCTGTGAGCATCTCCGAGAGACTGAGCGGGCACATCATTTTGAGATTGAAGAAATCATCACAGATGCCTTCGCAGTCGACAGGGACGTCGTCTCCTCCCAGTGAACACATATCGTCGGAAGGCATGAAATAAATTATGAAAAATGCGACCACCAATCTCTACTACCTAAAAGAAACGGAGTGTTCCGTTTCCCCTCTTACTTTCCCCGCTCTTCGTCCAACCCTCTCGTACGACATCCCACCCCTCCATCGGTTTTCCCCCGATTTTGTTTCCTCCCTCCACCGATTTTCTCTCCTGGTTGGTTCCATCTGATTCCCGTAATTAATTGTTTCCCTAAAAAATAATCCCGTAATTAATTGCTCCCGTGACTCACGTAGTTTCCTGTTATTGTTCCTTCCAAACCTGCCCTATCTGATATACCGGCCAGACCGATCCCCGTACATCTTTTCTTGTGGAAGATGCTAAGAGAGAGATGGGCGAGAGCAGAGAGGAGAGCAGCCGCGGTGCTGGCCCGTAGAGCCGTGGTTGGTGTGCGAGGCGACCGGCGAAGGGACCCTGCATCCGCGTGGTATGTTGGCCGGCTCGCCGAGCGAGCACTTCGAAAGGGCATGACCCTGTAGAGGTTCATGCCGCTGCCAGAACATGTCCTTCTCCACCGCCGCTGCCATAGGTAAGTTGCTCACGCCTGTCTGTCCTTCTGTGGGAAAGGTCAATTACCAATAAAACGGAGAATGCTGATATTATCCATTGCTTCCTCTGCTTGCAGGCACCGTTTTCTTGAGCTGCCACAGGCTGGAGCCTCTGCCGGTGGAGAAGGAGGCGACATGGACTGCCTGCTCTGGGTCTACGACTACATCGTCGAGTTCTTCCAATACAAGGACATCCTGCCCGACGGCTCTCAACACGTGAGGTGAGAAATCGAAACATTATGCATTCTGATTCTGTCAATTGATGGCGACCAGCCGACCAGGCCGAGATCCGATGTCTACATTAACCTCCGCCCACGATTGAGAAGCTCGACGACATGCTGCTTGCCAAATCTGAGTCTCTTTGTCCTTACTAAACTATTGAAGACGCGCAAGGTAATTGTAGGAGAAGAACAAGACGCAGCGTTTTCTGCTATCTGTTTATCCTTTTATTATGCGAGTACACACAAAGAAGTTAACAACCTTCCGGCAACTGCATCTCACAGCTCATGCCAACAACCGGGAGAAAAGAAAGGAAAGGAGAGATGCGTGCTAGGAGCAGTACCATCCGGTGATTACGTACGTGCATGCACGGGTCAGGCGTTCATGTGGCTTAATTTGATGTTCGCGCAGGAGATCATGGATGGCTTTTAGAAGACCGTCTTCTGGTACTTTCGAGACAAGAGTCACAAGAATAGTTGCGACGACTTGGCGCCCTCACGTCCGGCAAGACACTGGGCCGAGGAGAGGTGGTGGATGCCCGGGCCATGCATGACAAAGTTAAGTTGATAAAGATGCTATTTTTTTCCCCGTTTAGTGGTGCTTGGAGAGATATATGCATGAAGATTCTGGGCTCCAACAGAAGCCCCCTTGGCATTACCTTATATAAGTATGCAATTGTATTTTGTGGCCATCAAACAAGTTTAGTTCTAACAATACAAGGCTCCCATGCATTGAAGTTTATTTCGCCTCATAGTTGGCCTTGTAAGAGTGTGGAGGGAGAGCAACTATCGGCGTGTCCTTTCCGCCTCCTTCTGGACCTCCCCACTGTAGTTCCGGCTCTCGTCGGCTCCTTTTCCTCGCATCTTTCCAGGGTAAATGAATGAATTTCGAGCAAAGAATTCCTAAATTTGAGACCATTCTCTGTTGCATAATTTTATTATTTTCTGACATGCTTTATTAGGTAACAGTGGAGAAGAATTTCTGGAAATGGATGCGAAATCAAGGTGACATGCCAGATTATAGGCCGACAATGAAAATAGCCAGGTAAATATTGCAAGAGGTTGCTCCTGATGTGTGGACTTGTAGTGATTTTGTGATGCATATTCAAAATATTATATTGTTTTTATTGACGGAAAGGAAATTGATTTAGGCTCTACTGACATATGGCCTGAGGCATTCAACCATATATCTTTATATTTGAAAAAAATACATGCATTGCATGATACTTAACAAAAGGTAAAGTTTAACCCATTAAATGTTTGGATGTGTTCATTCTTCATTAGTGTTCGTTTCTTGCCAGCAGAATCCTTTGGCAACCGGTTCTCCCATGTCCAACCATGTCCCTTCGCCCCATTTTTTTTTCCGTCCTCATGCTTTTTTTGTCCCACCACACCCTTTGTTTGTAGCTTTCCTGCATGATAATCAATCATCTTAACTTACTTACCTTCTAAAGCAATTCCCTCTTAATTTACTTATCAAAATTTTACTCCAAACTTCTTATCAAGCTAATTAAAGGAAAATATGAGCATGATTTGATAAACATTTATTTACACACTTGCATTTATATGGACAAGTAAATCACGAGCTAACATACTAGACTATTTATATCCCGTTGCAACGCACGGGCAATGTCCTAGTGCCAATTAAAGGACTTGAATCCTGATGGGTTGGTTCCACCACAGAAAGCTAATCATCTGAGCTACACTCAGTTCGCAATGGCAACCGATCTTTGTACATGTAAATTGCATGTTCTTGCCCAGGCAAATCACACG